AAGGGGAGCCAGCGGCAGGGGAGGGGAGCAGCGCGGAGAGGAATACTCAGGAAACTTGTTGGTTGAATTGCCGTTCAGTAAAAGCCATGCCAAGTCCTCTTTCTTTCGGTAATCCACTTTTGTGAGTTTCTCTGGGCCCTATTAACACTCTGAAAGAAAATACTAACGCTCAACTTTGTGCAATAACTTCTTGACATTTACGACAGCCTGAGCTGTGTAACTGGAGGGCTCGGATTTACGGAGACACGGAGAGAGCCGGCAGAAACGGAGGCTGAGAAGCAGAGCAGGATTCACGCTGCCCCTTATCAGGAGAGTCCCCTTCCCAGGGATCCTTCTCCTGCACGCTGAATCGGATTTTGAAGACAGAAAATGAGCAAAGGGTCCGGGTGGCCCTGTTGAAGTCTGGTGGAGGAGCTGTCGCTGCAGCGGCCGCCAGGTGTGGCGCCGGCGGCGCCCGCCAGCCTGCCCGGCTCTGTGCTGGGCGTTACAGGGGTGGCGGAGTGTCCGGTTTGGAACCCCTCCAGGTCTCGTTTTTTACTGGTTTCTGGCACTGCTGTTGAGAGCAACCCGGCATGCAGCCTAGGTGAGGGGTTGCCAGAGCCGTACTCCAGTTGTGGTCGTTGTTTTGGGTGTTCATATTCAGGCTGTTCACCAAACGCTTACGGTACTCTGAAACTCGAAGAAAGAACTCTGGATGGTTTCCAAACACTTCTAAATATTAGTCTGAATAGTTATTTCTGCAGGATTCACAAAATATGAATTCTGCCCAAAGCAAAGACCTGGCTTTTCATCACCTGGGTGCTGGTGGGTGTGTGCTCGCCCTGCAGCCATGTCAGGCCCCCGTACTTCCCTTCCTCACATCCGTTTGAGAGGCTTTTGTGTAGCTGCTTTTAAGCCTATTTTCATCCTCCTGCTCTCTACCTTCTGGTGAGGAGCCCCCCATAAGCAAGCATTTTGTCATTCCCCCTTCCCCGGTATTTTCTCAGAAGAGGCAGAGCCCCCCGGCCATCCCCTGGGGTTCCCTGGCAGGGGGTCTGTGGGGCAGTGCTGGGGGTGGGTGCTGCAGCGGTGCCGGCAATGCTGGTGCCCGTGGTTCCCGGTGGGTTTGGCTGCCTGTTCCCCCACGGGCAGGAGCCTGGGGAAGGGCCCAGAAACTGGGATTACCCTGGATGGTAAAGATGAGGGGGGAAAAGAAAAAGAACCGCAGAGCCCTGAGGGATTGGTTTGTGAGCAAGGATTAAAAGAATCCAGCGTGTCCAAGCTGGCTAAAAACAGGGTCTGTGTTCCATGAGTACACCAGAGCACGAAGGAGAGAGGTGGACTGAGTTTCTTTTCTGTGCTGTGGGAGGAATTTGAGCAGAGGAGGAAAGGGAAAGCGGCAGGAGCACTTTGCGAACCGGTAAGCTACTACGCTTTTGAGTGGCTTCCGAGGGAAGCAGCAGCGATGTGTCTGCTGCCGTCCCCGAGAGGCGTCAGGAGGATGGCGCGGGGAACGGCGTGGTGCTGACTGGAAGGGGGGTCTGTGAGTGGTCTGCCAAGGACCTGCTTCTGGTGGTTGACATGAATTATGGATCTTTACAGGCAATTCTATGGAATGAAGCAACATATCCCCTTGGGGCAAAGCGCTTGTAATCTATTGCCCCGTTTGCATCCGACTTTTCCGTTACTCCTTTGGGAAGAGGAAGCCTCAGATCTCAGAGCGGCATTTTCTTCACACCTGCAGCAAACTGGACTCAAGGTTTGGTCAGGAGGGGACAGTGACTTTGCCTTAGATGAAACAATCTCACGTCCCTCTCACGGCCCGCTTCCTCCTGCAAGGCCGGTTGGTGATTTGATTCTCCAGTTCACTTTGTTTCAGGTATTTCGACATCAAAGTGGGAGACGTCATTTTCCGGAATCTCTCTGCCTGGTGTCACTGCTTAAATAATTCTGTTTGATCTTCTGCTTATGAGCTATCAAAGCACCCACTCCAAGGGGGAGCAAGGTGCTAATCAAACGCTTCTCCACCTTGAAAGCCTTTCTTAAAAACCCATATACGAGAGTCTAGCTTATAGGCAAGCTTGTCTCCGCATGAGCCCCGCTGTGGAGCATCACAACGCTGCAGCCCACCAAAGCCCAGAGGAGGTGGACGTCAAGTCGTCCACGCTTTGCCATAAAGGATGAATTTATGTTTAAAGGCAGGCAGGAGAGATCAGCACGGCCAAAGTGCTGGAGTGCCTGTGGGATCCAGCATGGACCAGTCCGCAGCTGCCTGAAGACCCCCATGGGAACCAGCATGGAGAAACAGAACCGCGGCCTCGCTGCTGGCGGGCAGCATCCCGAGCAGCGCCTCTCGGGGAGGGTCAGCCCTGACGGAGGCTGGACATGGCCGTGCCGCACGACGATGCCTTCCCACAGGGTCTCGGTGCTGTGACACAGAGGGGATGGCGAGTGCAGCAAGAGAGACCTTCATCACAGCAGTGCCTTCAACACACTGTCTTAAAATCCCAACAGCCCGTCCCACGTGAGTTCTCTCTCCTGCCTTCCGCTGGACTTCACCAAAAATGTCGTGATGTAGGAAGCAATTTAGGTGGGCACATGGAGGACAAAAGCAGGAAGACTTGAAGCTCTGAGGTTGCGTTCGGGCACGCTGCTGGCTCCGAGTGCCTCAGTGCGAGTCGTTTAGGTGTGCATGGAAGAGACCGGAGCACTTCCCTCCTCCGGTGGGCATGACCTACAAGCAACGTCTTGTTTGCAGAAGTCCCGAGCAGCCGGTGGGGATGGGGAGAGCCGACCTGCCCGCTGCCCTCGCCCCATTCCCCGGGCAGCAGGTCGGCACAGGGCAGAGCAGCTCCCAGCACGGTCCCCGTGATGCTCCGGTCCAAGCCCGTGCATTGAGCCAGTTCCCTGGCAGCAGCGCAGCCACGTCCTCGCCTGTCGCTGGCTCTTCTCCATCCCGTTTGAGTGCTGTCAGGGCTGACCTGTCCCGGGGACTCAGCTCGCCAAACTAAATGAAACTCAGATAGACTGACTTGAGTAGGCTGGGACATCAGGGAAAGCTCTCGAGTGACTGTACCCTGGAGAGAAGAAAAAATGTTCAGAGAAGGATAAATAACTGACATCAAAGATGCATTAAAATGCCACAAAGCTTCAGCCATCCTATTTCAGAGTTGCGTTTGTACCATAAACCGCAAGCCAGTAACGCAGGGAGCTGCGACGTTGTATATAGTTGCGTACTAGGTAGAGCTAGGTGAGCAGTCCCGTCTGTTTCGTGAATGTGTCTTCAGTGAAACCTCCCGCGTCGCCCAAGGCCACCAAAACCGGAGGGCTGGAGGCCAAAGGCAAAGTGCTGGTGACAGCTGCGAGGCCGCCCAGCACCCGCCTGGACAGGAGGCTTTTTCTTTGTTTAATTAGACATTCGGTGGGGAAATAATCGGAGTAGAAGATGCCCGTGTGCAGCGTGAGGAAGGCGGCATTCAGGATCTGCTCAGCTGAGCAACCCTGAATGTACAACTTCGGTGTAGGTCGGTCAGATGAGTTCTGAAGGGGAAGAGGATGGGAGTCTGCGGACCGATTT